CCCCCTGGCCCCTGCCCCTCTGGCTTCCCCGCATCCTCCCCCGCCGCTGACAAGTCATGCCCGGAACCCCTCGCCCTGTCCATGGTCTTGTGGGACTCCTGGCCCACTCCCTCGCCCACTCAACGCTCCCTAGGAGCGCCTCGGTCGCTCTTACCTGTCTCCATCGCGCCCAGCCCCCTCCTGGGACCGTCACCCCTCCTCTAGCCCATTCCCCCCTGCGCCCCCTTCCACACCTTTTCACCTGTTCCCACGGTCCCCCACTGGGTCCTGTCCCCACTCCTTCGCTCCCAGGATCACAGCACACCTGGCTCACACACTTGCTTCATCGGACACTTACAGCTAGGTTCACCTGCATCCCCATGAACTCCCCACGACTTAGATGCAGGTCTTTCTCTGCCTGCCTGCGCCTCTCTCTCACAGACTGGATTGGCCCCACACTCTTACAACACAGGCACCGCTGCAAGTCCCCTCGCTCCCCACCCATGCCTCCACATGCCCAGGGGACCAAGAAGGCCGCCCTGTGTTCCTAGCTATGGTGTCTTCCAGCTCCTCTCTCCGCTAAGTGGGCCTCGTCCTCTGAGGCAGGGAGGAAGAAACATGGCTGGGCTGGCGGGGAAGGAAGGTGGCTCTCTTTCATCCTCTGCCCTCTACTCTCCGCTTTCACCTGTTCCTTCTCCCTTTAAAACGTGAACAGAACCAGAAGTTGCCCCCTTGGCCTATAGAGTTCACCATCACAGGCCACCTGGGGTCGCTCTAGACTGCCTAGATCAGAACCTCACCTTACCCCTCCACACGTCACCCACAGCTAGTTACGTGCTTCTTCAGCCTTGTCCTTCATCGGTGCTCCCCAGCCTTATTCCAGAACTCTGCCCCATCCCAGCCCCTCCTCATCCTGCCGTCCTCCTTGCCCTCTGGATTCCAGGTGTCCCAGACCCCACTTGAGCAGGAGGGAAGAGGCCGATGGGATGCCCCCAGAATCCCATGCTCTGAAACTGCTGTGTGACTGAGGGGCACACAGCTCAGCAGGGCCCCTTAAAGAAAGAGGACAGAGTCCCTCCCCTATGAAGATCCCTACCCCACAAGTCCCCCACGTGCCCCATGATCTGTTGAAGGTGGTTTCCATATTCTTACCTTCTCTGAGTCCATGCCGAAGAAGACAGGTTTGGGGACACACACCTCCTACACACACAAGTCATTTTGGGGGCAGAGCTGTGCACAACCTAAAAGTGGGATTGGCAAGAGAGGAGGGAGAGATCCCAGTTACAAATCCTGTACGGGTCAGGGGAGGTAAAAAAGTCATCTCTTCAAGACCTCACACGCTCACCACACTCACACACACAAGCACACCCAGAGGCACAAACATACCAATAGGCACAGACATAGTGACACACACACAAACACACACGCAAACACAGACACACAAAGAAAAACTAAATATCAAGACGCAGACACTTAGATGGACATTCAGACACCCGGAAAGACACTCAGAGACACGTGCGCCCTCGTGCGTAATATAGGCACACCCTCGGATTCCCTCGAGTAACCAACCCTCTAGCCAACCTCCACCCATCCTAACGTGACCTGAGCTGTGTTCCTTCCTCCCGGTCAGCTCTCAGCAAAACCAGCAAGGATGCTGATCAGCGCCCCCTGCCTGGACTGACTTCCCCTTCACCCTTCTTGCCTTTGGCTAGGATCTCCCACACTTGCCTGCCCTCCTGGGTCCCCTGCCCGCTAACTCAGCCTGGCCTCCATCCCTGTAGTGCTCCTGGGGCTGTCCTCCCTCTGAAACCCATTCACATTCCTTTCCTGGCTTCCCCAGGTGTGGCCTGTCAGGGTTCAGTTCTCCACAGAGGACGGTGTGTGCCTGGAGGCGGGTGCCCGCTCACCCTGCTCCATCTCCCATGGGTGTTGCTGGGCCTCTCTCACTCCGGTATGGCTCTCCATCTGGGCCACCTCTGGGTCAGCAGGTCTCCACTTTTAAAAGGCCACAGCTGCAGGCGAATTTTGTGGCCCTGGAAAGATGTGGGTGGTTAGAGCGACGGGGAGTCAGTCCCTCCAGCTGACCCTTGGCTGGGGTCCCCCTACACCAGTGGGCCCCAGTCCAGGTCCACCCCCTTGGGTAGCCACCCTCCATTAAGGAGCATTTTTATCTCTTGGGTGGACACTTCCCCCAGGGCCCGTGTGCATCAACATGTGTGCCCTGTTGCCAGTGTTCACCGCCTCTATCTGTACC